AAATTTCTCACTTGTGTTGTCAATCTTAATTTGGACTGTTCCATAGTTAAAGGCATTCTTAAGAATTTTGATTTATTTATCATCAACGTCTTGTTTTTCTAGAACTAAAAACTAATGATTGTAATAAAAATAACTTGTGTTCAACTTTTAATCTTGTGTTGCTTGTAATTTTTCTGGTACGAATGTGCATTATGTTCACAATAACATTCTGTAATATTCTTACCTTTTTAATATAAGTGTATTGTTCAGCAGTGGGTTCCATGCAGTGTTTACAAAACATCTCAAATATATATATATGCCAAACAAAATTTCTTTACAGGTATTTAAAAAACACACCTAAACCAAATACATGTATTGTATATATTGTATAGTGGAATCTCATATTTACCATAGACTCGACCGTTTACATAAGCATATGCTCTTCTGATGAAGCAATAACATGTTTTATCATACCCTTTTCATGCCTAGTTACTGTGTACCGGTTAACAGAAATGTCAAATTACTTTTACCCTGTTCATAATTTACTTATCGTGCAAGGTTTACATATTAGCATCAGTACCTTTAAAACCTGAGATCCCTAAAAAAGGTCTAACCATGCATTAAGTGAACATAAAGGTTTTATGTTCACACATGACGTGTCTTTAAAAACATCAATAATGTATGGGAAAACAATTCAGTTGGTTCTTGTATGAACTGTCTTGTTTGTGCTGCTTAATTATGCTAAGATTGTATATGTAGATAAGGTACAAGTTAAGTATGTAATATTTTCAGGCGTTTATTAGATGAACGTGATCGTGATCCTTATGACCGGCATGATCCCTTTCCACCACGCGAAAGAGACCGTGTAGATGATTACTATCGAGGACGCCGGGATGTACGAGATATTAGAGATGAACGTGATGATCCATATGCCAGGTAACCATACATTATTTCTATCAACTGATGCCATACATACACTGCTTGGCATTGCCAGAGAATGTGATTTGCATACTGAAATCTGGCCGCCATTATAATTTACACCTGGAAATATGATTTAACATTAACATGATAGTATGGAATACAATCACAGGAACACTATTATTAAAGAATCATTTTGTTCTGTCTTGCAGGGACCCAAGGCGAGATGAGATTCGAGAAAGAGATCATTATGAAAGACCGTCAGCTCGTGATAGACTTCCCCGTGCTTATGCTGATTTCAAAGAACCTGCACCACAACCAACACCGGATCCAATACAAAGACCTGTTGATTGCGAAGTAATTGTGGTCAATAGACAACAACGGTAAGATTCAAGTCGCCAAAGCAATTTTCATAAAAGACGTGTATTTATATATCTAGTGGTGAAATGAATTATATAAAGGACATGTACAAATCATTCATGTTCAAACACTGTAACTGTATACGACTTCTGTGGCAATAGCATACTATGTGTCAGTGTAACTGTATATGACTTCTGTGGCAATAGTATACTATGTGTCAGTGTAACTGTATATGACTTCTGTGGCAATAGTACACTATGTGTCAGTGTAACTGTATATGACGCACCGTAACTGCATGGCTTATTTTACTACACATGTTAAAACTTAAGTAAACGTATAATTCACCCTCAACTTGAGTCCTTTTCCTATGTCATGGTGTATACAGTACATCAGGGAGTGATACAAGAAATAATGCTTAATATTTTTTCCATGCAGAGATTATGCAGAGACAGTTGAAAGACGTCTAAAGCAGATTGGTCTGATAGTGGATATTATTTTCTTAACATCTGATGTTTCTTTGGGACAAGCCTTAGATGACGTGTCAAGACGTGGTGTGTTATATGCTACAATGATCACAAGCCAGCATGAACTTCATCGCTCAGTTACTCTGAATATACTACATGGGACACCACAAGGTATTGTGATTTTCTCCTGCAGTAACACACCTCATAAATTACTCAACAAATAAAAAGGTAGAGTGTTAGGTGTGTTGCTACATGCAGAGTTTTATCTATATTTTGTATTTGGAATAATTGCTACATTTGTGTAATTAATTTTGTGTAACAGGTAATTTCCCTAGGTTGAGCAGAAATGGTTTATTCAGGATGCACCATGCTTTAAGCACATTTTTGGCTGTACAAACTTGTCACAACTTAATGGTGACTTAATTATTATGGGGGGGGGGGGGTCCGTAATAGTTATCTTCCCTTTTTCATGAAATAGTCATTGCCGCAAAATATTTTCTTTTCTTATATAATGAGAAAAGTTTACAACACAGCAAGGCACACTAAAAAAATTCAAATAAATAATGAGGCTTGCCTCAGTTTGGCTGAATAAGTTTGATGCTACAGTGTTCACTTCAACAAATAAACTGTCAGAGTTCTACTCTGATAGGAGTTGTTTTAACTTGCTGTTTGATGTTTTGTTTAAGTAATAGTAATAGAAACGATTTATCTCCTCACATCAGAGTTTTCATTCCCTGCATAGCAACACACTCCCACTGTATACAATAATCTGTACTACTGCTTCCATACTTAGACTTGCTATTCTGGTTTTTACGATTTAGTAACGTAGTTACATACTCGCAAGTGGGATCAAAATGCAATGATTACATTGTTATCACATGAGATTTGTCCACTTTACCCGGTGTGTACTAATTTGTCAACTCATTTCTTCTGCATATAGTGATTTTGTAAAAAAAAAAAGTTACTGGGGGAAAGGGAAAACCAATTTGTGTGCACACCAATTATTTACCAGTTGATTTGAACTAGCATTACTATCTATCATTAATTACGTCCTTCATTATTAACAGCAGGCATTGAAACCAGATTTTGCATTCATGTTTGTGGCAAACTAGAGCACATGCTTCCTCAATTTTTTTTCAATTTTCATACCCAGAATGTTACTATTTCTTCAAACTTGATAATCGTGTGTTGAAAAATGAATATACATTTTCCCTCTTGCCGCAACTAGAATTATATTTTAATTTTCTTCCCAGCACATGGATAAATGCAAGTGGTTAAATACATCAAACTGTTGACCTGCAGTACTCTCTAATCATCATCATTGTACTTTTAAAATTGCTTCCATCTTTTCTATATATTACTGTTATTAATGTATCTGAATTAACTCCTTTGGATGATGTATGTTTCATTTTGCGTTTGTGATATTATTCTACATGTGGATCATTTACACAAATGATGTACACAGTAACAACTTAAAATGTCTGCCTATCCTATTCACTTTAATAATATAGACAGCAGAAGTGAAGCTAAAATAATGGATTTTTAATAATCGTGCAATGTTTATCATCTACTCGCGCATTACATTTTTGTGTTCAACGATGTGAATTTTGCTGAAAGGATGATTGTTTTGAATTGGGAAGATTTCCTTTACTCAACTAACGTATGCACAAGAACATTGTACAGACAATTTTCCCATTAATTTCTGTTAATTACTTGACTTGTATTGCAACTTACTGGCCTGTATACTGTTTGCATACTGTTCAAGCCAGTGATGACAAAGGTTTTCTCAGTTTCGTGAAAGTGGGTTGTACTTCTAACATGCTTAGTTGTGTTACCTTCTTTAACGTGTATAACTAAATCCTGTACCAGTCTGGTACTGTTAAACACTTTTGGCTTGCAAAATACGCTTTTTGCTAATTACCCAGAGTTGACAAAATATTGTAGCAGTGAAGTAGGTGACTTTTGTGACAATTTGTCAATGCACTTAAAATTTTAAAATCGCAATTTTTTTATATTGAACGAAGTACAGTGGAACTAGAGAATTACAACTGAAACTAAAATATCTTTATAATAGAACATGCTCATCTCATCGCGTACGACTTTTTCATCAAGCAATGTTTTTATTATGTTCAACAATGTAAGTATTTCACTGGATGAAGATTAAATACGAAAATTTCCCTCACTCAATAATAATATATATATACACATATATCCCCAAAGCACATTTCTGTGCTTATATGGTTTCTATAAAATACTTGCATAATTCTACATCATAATTTCTGTTAACAAGTTGTAATGTTACTCATAGGCCTGTTTATATTGTTTGAGCCCTGTATTCCCTACAATGTTTAAGTCCAACACAACACTGATTTTATCAAATTCCAATTCCTGTACCAGTCTAATACTGTGACCAGTTCATGCATTTTTGAAATAGCAAACTCTTTATATTAAACAAAATACCGCGGAACAAGAGAATTATCAGTAAAGCTAAAATATCCTGTTATAAATCATGCTCATCAACTTGCGTACTACTTTTTTATCAACCATGTGAATCTCCAAATTAATGCTACTGTAAATATATGTATTTCACAGTAAATTTTCCCATATCTGTTTATTATCATTATTCATTGCCCTGTACATTGTTTTAGCCTCGCGTTTTTTACAATGCTCAAATCAGACGTAACACTAATTTATCTCAATTTTACTCAAGTGGTTTACTTTGTGCACTAAGTGTGACTAAGTCCTGTACTACTGGTAGATACTGTGAACGAATACTGTGCAACACATTTTTCTAAATTTTGCCAGTCAGCAAAATATTTTGAACTAAGAACAATGGAACTGGAGAGTTGAATCATGCTCATCTACTTGTGTATGACTTTCATCAACCCATTTTTATTGGATGGAGATTTTAACCATGAATAGTTTCTCCGCATAATTCTAGTGTATCCACAAAATGTATTCTGTGTATAGTATCCTTCAATTTTACAAAACATTTGCATATTATTGCATTGTACAATCCTACTATTTGTAATGCAACTCATTGACCAGAACATTGTTTAAGCCCTCTGTTCCCCTGAGAAACAATGTTCAAATCAAACTCTAAATTGAGATTTCCGGATTTAACATAAATGGTTATACCTGCAACATGCTCAGTTTGTATGTCGCCTTGTACAATAAGTATAACCAAGTCCTTCTGTATTGATCTCGTACGGTATACTATACTTCTGACATGCCATGCAATGTTAATCAAGTACATGAATTCTCTGCCAGATAACCTATGACTTTAGGTCTATCACATCTGCTACAAAGGGTTGTAATCCTTCACATGGAGACAATTTTGTCTTGTTTTTTGACTGCCATGGATGGATTAAAAATTAAAGAAGTGTAATCGTCGCCCAGTGCGTGTTCAAGTTTCATGTAAATAAACAAAGCATTTTACACGCGTTGTATTCGTCGCTATGAGTGTTATATCGAACAGGACCCGGCACAACGACTGCCACCCTTTAACGTATACAGTATGTCCTGGGACAGAATAGTTTTCCATAGATACTTGAAAATTAGCAAAGTATATTCCCTATGATTGGCAATATGTTTAACTTGTCATTTTGTTTGTGTCATTGTCACTATGCCAATCAGTTGACAGCTGTTACAACAGACTTAATAACATTGGTTGAGACCCCCCTTCTGCAATCAATTACTGTTAGACAAAGGTGCATCGACATGGACAGTGTTTGATAGGAATATTGCTGAATTGGCTAATTTTTTTTATCAGCAAATGAAATTACTGTTTTTTTTTTTTTTTTTCAAATAATAATTATCCTGTGCCCCTTCTTCTTTTGTTAAGAACATAGGAACATGCCGCTGGATGATGCCATGACATTTATCGCGCGTAACTTTGAACGTTACATGCAAAACCTTCGTGAAAAAAGTTTAGCAGCAAATTTAAGCTTGGCCACAGGTGTAGAGTTAACAGTCCCACAACTCCTGTGTCTATTGGCTGATGGAAAACAACTAACAGTGGGAGAACTGGGTAAGGTTATCGATTATCTTCAAGATCGCAAGAATAAGCTTTTGGAAGGTGAAGTTGGGAATGCACAATTGATGGATGTGCGAATGACCACTGCTGACGATAAAGCTAGTAAGTGCTGCAATTTCTCATTTAATTGAAATTACTTGTATTCCTAGATTTTAGCTGTTCTAGGCCTCACAGAGCTACAATTTGGGTACAGTCAATCTTAGGGCAGGGTCCCAGTACATTCTCAACACAATGGTCCATGTGTATTCCAAGGGTGATATCAAGTAGTCCTCCAATACATTATTCACACTCAGGTAGTTCCAGGGTGATATCAAGTAGTCCTCCAATACATTATTCACACCCAGATAGTCCCAGGGTGTGATATCAAGTAGTTCTCTAGTATATTCTTCATACTCGGGTAGTCCAAGGTGATGTCAAGTAGTCCAGTACGATTAATAATACCAAGAGGCTCTTTCACTGTGCTATCTCAGATAAGAGTTTAAGATGTGAAACATGTGCAACTTTCATGTGAATTTCCTTATATTGTGTTTTGTTTGTTACATCAGGCACTCAAAAGTTATTAGAACTGCAACAACAGCAGCAGCAGCAGCAACAACTACTACAGCAGCGACAGCAGCAGGAGGAGCAGCAACAACAGCAAGCTGATCTTCAAGCAAAGATTTTGAAAATATTCAACCCAAGTGGTACTGCAGCCAGTAGTGCACCAACTCCTACAACTGCAGATAATTCAACTGCCAACCGCCAAAATATTAATCCATTTGGTATTGCTAGTGTTGCAGCTTCTCAGCAACCACAAGCCAAAGCTCAGCCAGTGCAACCTGCAACTCGTCCTCAAACCTCAATTCCGTCACTTATGGATCAGCCTGTTCCTCCTCCAACTAATGTTTTATCTAAAATAGGGAAGGCTGCAGAAAGTAGGCCACAGTCTTCTGCTCCACCAGTTTCCTCAACAGGGAATGCTGGACCAGGAAGTGAGCCTGGTTTATCTCAACAGAATGGCCAAGCTTCTGCTCCAGGTGTTGGGATAAATTTTGACAACCCTTCAGTACAGAAAGCTTTAGACAACTTGATTCAGAGTGGACCAAATTTGTTAAAAAATCTAGGTCAGGTTTCTCAGATAGTGAAGGGTGCTACTGGTGGCCAGTCTCAAGCAAAGGCTAGTTTGACAGGTCCACAGAGTGCTAGTGAATCTGGTTATGGTCAGGCTGGTGGTCTAGGTAATAGTGGTAGGGGTCCCAATGTTGAAGGGAGAAATGAAGGGCCTGGTGGTTATGGTGGAAGGGGAGAAGGCCCTGGTGCATTTGGATCCAGAGGTGAGGCTCCAGGCGGTAGCCGTGGTGGTCCGGCTGGCTATGGTGGTCCTGGTCGACTTGAAAATTATGGTCAAAATGAAGGTGGTGGTTTTGGTCGAAGAGTTGGAGAAGATGGTGGGTTTGGAGGTGGAATGGATGGTTATGGGGGAGGTGGGTTTAATGCTCCTGGCAGAGGTGGAATGGATAGAGGTTTTGGTATGGGTGGAGATCCAGGGTTTGGTGGTGGAGGTGGGAGAGGACGTCCTGGTATGGGTCCTGGTCCTGGTGGTATGGGTCCTGGTCCTGGTGGCATGGGTCAGGGACCAAGGGCAGGTATGGGTCCTGGAGCCGGCATTGGCCCTGGCATGGGACCTGGTATGGGTATGGGCATGGGTCGGGGAAGACGTTATTAGTTATGTACCACAACAAGTGGTTTATAATTCTGTGAAAAACAAATTATGTATCGAAAAAACAATGCATTGCAAGAGAAGTTGTCATAAAATTGCTTGCTTATAGTATTTTCTGCCTTGAAATTGTTAGATGAACAGTAAATGTGTACCTGTTTCTTGATCATGTTTTTACTGGTATATTGTTATAAGGCTTATACAAGATTTATACATCTTGAACTTTTAAATTTGTGATTTCACTCTATTTCTGGTGTCCAGTTTTTTTGTGTTACCCTGCATTTTATTGAAAATTTTTGTATTAATCATGCTACCCTTGTGACTGTCTTAAAATAAAAATCTTGGCTGTAGTTTGAATAAAGATGTTGGTGTACAACCTTTAAATGTGTATTTAATTGCCAGCTTCTTTTACTTGAATCTTTTATTACACTGAGCATAATAACCAAAGGAAATAATCTAGTTGGGTGTGTTAAAACAAGTAGCCGAAGTCTTCTTATAAACCAAACAGATAGACCCCTTTCCTTCATTCCTTTTTGTGGCAGCTTGATTGGCTGTATATGCATCGTCGGAGATAGATTCATAATACTGTAATGAGAATATTTTTTTTACATGCAAATTGGTTCTATAAAATGGTGCCCACCCTTCTATTTTTAGACATTTAACTAGTTGAGGGCATCCCCGATTATAAGCCCAGAGTGTTTTTACCTGGCGACAATGACATTTATTAAAATACGCGTGTAAAAAGTGTTTCATTGCATAAAAATCATGCTTAGTACGGTAGTTTGGTTCATTGTTAACTTTTCCTTTTCTGAAACTACGTGAATGGGGTGTGAACGAGTAAACTATTTTTCGATGTGGCCTGTTCAAGACGGTGAAAGGGTGTATAAATACTTCCTTCACACTTGCCTTTCAAAAAAATTTCACTTCCGCATTGCATTAAAAATATTACATCATCAATATCGAAAAACTTGTCTGCATGACACAGCATTTTGATTGTTTAACAAAAGACTTGACCTGTTAGGTCAAACGATGTTGCTTCAGGTCAAATCATGGTGAAAACCATCATAGCGGAAATTTCTTTGCATAGAGTTTGCGTATGATCAAAAACATCCCACATCGAAGATAATGATAAATATTGACTGTTTTCTCCACAGACCCGACCCTATTTTTACAACGTCAATTCAGATGGTATGTAAATCGTATTGTAATAAAATGTGTGTATTTTATAAACATGTTGGCATAGTTTTGTAAAAAGAAAACAATAACCTGTTGCCGTGAAAGAAATCTTGAGCAGTTTCTAAATTCAAATTTTTTCTGTTCCGATGTCTGTGAACGACCTCAATCAAAGTTGCATGGGAACGTTGTTGTCACTTTGATCATGGAAGGTACTAACGGAAGGAGCCACGGCGCTATTGATTTAGCTTTACCCTATGATCTTTTGTTCTTGTTGGCTCTTGGCAGATACAACGTTGATTGAAAAACTAATGAACTATTGTGATTTTTTTTTTCTGTTTGTAATGGTGATGAGACGTGATCCATGATTGCCTGTGTCAATGATTACATTATTCAATGATACCATCGTCCGTGTGTGGGTTTCACGCCTGAAAAACGTTGAACAGAGTGCGCATGCGCATATATTTTATGGTCGCGTTAAAAATAGTTATATCATATTCCGCTAACTCGTTACTTGTGTATACATTCACAAACTATCCTCGACAGCAAAGATGAGCTAGACAATATTCTTAACAGAATTAACTTGACAAAAGGAAATAAGGCCAGTTAAGAGGCTTAAATGGCCACTTGAGAGGCATTGTGGCTCCTTCCGTTAGTACCTTCCATGCTTTGATATAGGTCCAACTATGAATGTAAACAATGTCGCCGCTCATTGTGCAGCCTAGCTAAATAAGAAGAAAAAAACAAAACACATGATCACTAGCAATAGTAGCAACACATAATTATGTGATGCGAAACTAACCATTTCCCGTACGATAAAAAAAAAAATATTACAACCCGGTGATCAATCAAAGCCGCTGTTGCCTATGAGGTCATGAACAGTTAATAGGTCAAATCCTTGATCGAATGTGTTTCGTTTCACCTTGGTGTGAGGATTCACACTTGTCGACCCAGGATTTTCCACGCATATTTACCCGAATTCAGAATTCGGATTCCAACAAGCTGCCTCGTCACCAGAAATGAATATTTTACCGGTACTTTACCCAGCTATATATGTAAAAACTATATATGTAAAAAATAAACTATCTACAACTATCTGCATACAAGAGACGATTGACAGTTGCTGTCACACACATCACAAGGATTCTGGTGACAAGAGGTTTTCATGCTTGCACAATGTACAGTTCTGTTTCTCAAAATTATTACATATTTAAACAAAACTATATTTGCATCTAGTGTGTAAATATAAAGCTGGAATGTGCTCAAACTGGTGGTCATTCAAATGCGTGGTCTAACTGATTGGAATGATTTATTTTCATAGCAAGCCATATCTAAATGTAATTTTCATATCTTCAGAAATTGCATTACATCACATAAACATTTTTCAAACTTATCAAATAGTTAGAAAGGTATGACTCAATGGTAGAGCAGGTTTGCGATTAATTTTATTCCTCGTACAATCTTGAATGCTGTACACTGTAAAAAGCTTCTTCCAGATTGTAGCATCTTTTGCTACAGTCCTATTGGAATGCATCGTAAAATGAAGTTTCTGCCAAATTGCATCTTTTGCTGCAGTTCTATTGGAATGCATCGTAAAATGAAGTTTCTGCCAAATTGTATCTTTTGCTACAGTCCTATTGGAATGCATCGTAAAATGAAGTTTCTGCCAAATTGTAGCTTTTTTCTGCAGTCCTATTGGAATGGACCGTAAAAAGAAGTTTCTGCCAAATTGTAGCATCTACGGACAAACATGATTGAAGATGGTATCTCAACATTTACGAGAATTCCAATTTATTGTATCTATTTTTTTTCATTGTCTTGTCACAAATCTATATGTATTTAACAAATAAATCTTGTGCAATGTTATGGGTTTTGTTTTTTAGCTTCGCAGGATTTGGTGCTGTGCCTTGTCCAGCTGTTGTGGCCAATCAACCAACCATAGTTCTATATATGCATGATAAATCAGGTCCAGATGCACCTCTGGCCACATTCCCTGTGGGTAGGACATTGATAGAGCTCTATGGATAGGACTGTGCTCCAATCAGTTTGCTTCAGTAGCATTTTATGAAAGACTCTTGGTTTAATGAAATGCATCCCAAGGAAATATTCCAGGCAAACAAAATATTTATCCTTTTTCTTTTCCCACACTTTTTATGCAAAAATAAAACTGCACAAAAAGTTTCATTTATGCCATACAAATGTCCCATGGGAACACGCACCTCTCTCCCTGTAACATAAAGAATGATGGAATGTCTGCAACTGGTGTTTTGAGCAGTATAACGTTTATTATGATTACTTCTCATGGACAAGAAAAGTTGAAAACGTTAAACAAGTCTTGTTTTTGTTGGCTGATGACACATTGTATTTCAAAGTGACCAGACAAAGTGTAACAGAATCAAGAAAAAACTTTTCAACAGGGTTTCTAACTTGGATGCTGCAGTGATCCATTTTCAAAGCTGGCAATAGGGGTCACAGTCGGTCAGCAAGAATGTAGAGTTAAGTACACATTGCCCTGATACTGCCTTACTGGCAACTGTTACGGTTCACAGATCTTCGTAATCAGGATTCAAGTTAATTTTGTTAGTTGAAACATTTTTTTCGTGAGCACAATTCTGCTTTTAATCTTGCCCCAAATGTGACTGACAAAAATTTGAGTCCTAAAAAAATTGATTTGATCACTACTGTATTGTTAATGTCAATCATGCAGGTTATTTTTAATTGCAATTTTAAATAGCAATGACATATTTGAGCACTAGCCAGACGTGTCTAATACAGATCTGATGAATGGCTCAAGATAGAATTCTCAGGTGATGGTGTTGACATTTGGTCAGATATCGCAAAACTTTTGTTTAACCAAATGTCAGTAATTTCAAGTAACAAGTCCTAATTTCGTGAGATAAGAGCTGTGAACTTTCGCTTACCAAATGAACTTGTGCTGCGAAAATAAAATGATTTAAATTTTGAACTTTGTTATAGCTCAATGTTTGAAACGTGATATGCCTTTATTTTATCAAAATTTTTCGACACCTTTTTTTTTTCTCTTCAATATTTCTGGAAATGAACCCTAATTTTGAAGCGAACAGAAAATAATTTGAGTTAATTTTTGGTTTTAACTCAACAAATGTGTCTATTTTTGTCCCAATCTTCTGAAGGAAAGTGCAGGCTATAAACGGGGACTATCTTGTGATGACAAGAGGAAACTGGTGGTGAAAAGGTTAATCTGTGAAAATATACCAAAAACTACCTTTCTTGAATCCTGTGTTTTGACACCACCACGAAGCTATGACCGTTCTGTTTTTACGTTCAATTTCACACATAATGCAGTATCTCGCAGTGAACGGGAAATGGTCTTAAATCCTATAACAATCCTGTAAGGATTCTATGGTCATAATGATGAAAACAGATGAAAAGGATGTAAACTATCAGTTACACCAACGAATGTTGAAGCTAATAGCAGCCAGAAACAGTATTATTTTTAGTGGTGGCCTCCATCTCAACAGAAATGACCAAAACTGTGTATCTTTCAAGTTGGGTGTCTGGTCTTGCATTTTTATTTATATAGAATGATTACTCGTGTAAAATAGTAATAAATGACTTCTGAATTACTACAAGGTGTAGCTGATTAGTCCAATTTGCCAAATATCACATGATCATGGACTACAAGGTATAGCTGATTTAGTCCATGGTGCCAAATATCACATGATCATGGACTACAAGGTATAGCTGATTTAGTCCATGGTGCCAAATATCACATGATCATGGACTACAAGGTATAGCTGATTTAGTCCATGGTGCCAAATATCACATGATCATGGACTACAAGGTATAGCTGATTCGTCCATGGTGTCAAATGTCACATGATCATGGACTACAAGGTATAGCTGATTAGTCCAGGGTGCCAAATGTCACATGATCATAGACTACAATGTATAGCTGATTTAGTCCATGGTGTCAAATGTCACATGATCATGGACTACAAGGTATAGCTGATTCGTCCATTGTGTCAAATGTCACCTGATCATGGACTACAAGGTATAGCTGATTCGTCCATGGTGTCAAATGTCACATGATCATGGACTACAAGGTATAGCTGATTTAGTCCATGGTGCCAAATGTCACATGATCATGGACTACAAGGTATAGCTGATTAGTCCATGGTGCCAAATATCACATGATCATGGACTACAAGGTATAGCTGATTCGTCCATGGTGCCA